CTTTCGGCATCGGTGCTACCTACCTTTTAAGCGGATAGAGGTGAACAATACCGATGTTGATAAGGATCGTCGGACGTTCTTGAATCGCGGAGGAACTAATCCGATAAAAGAACGTTGAACGGGGGTTGAACTCGGTGTATTGCAAACGTACTACATTCGATCCAGGCTTATATTTCTTTTTTCACGTTGGCATTATATCACGATATTAATAATAGCCCATAAATTAAAGGTGCTTATAAGTTGAAATAAATACATACATACATACATACATATATAGAGGGAATACCTAAAAAATCTCTGGGCATGATCAAACACTCTAAGTGTTGTCTAAGCGTGTTGTGCTTTCTTTGTTGGAATCTCAGATAATGCTGGACAGCAGCAGCAGGAAGCTGCTCAACTGCAAACGGCGCCCGCGGCCCCCACAGTGACCAAACCAGATCCACCAGATGTACTTCCCAAGGCTAAGTGTTTGGACGCTTTAGCTGCACTCAGGCATGCCAAGTGGTTTCAGGTTTGAATCCATCAACTCACAAGTTCAAGATCTCGAATTGTCGAAGCGCCCATATTCTTGTTTGGCGCTATATATAAAATGCATTTTCTTTTATTTTCTCCTACGAGAAACGCGAGACAAGTTGTTCTCTCTCTTTCTCTCTTTTTTAAAAAACGGAAAGAAAAACAAAAGAAAAGACAAGGAAAAAAAGAAAGCAGTCTTAGAAACTTCCAGCCTTGTGACGGTTTTATTTTCATCATTATCCGACTTACGATTCTGTCTGAATTGCCTATTTGATCTCACGTTCGATATTCGTCGTTTTTATATCCGCTGAATTTTCGAACCCCAGTGCCAGTCGGCCATGTCCACTGTCTTCTATAGAGTTTTAGATATTTTACATTTGTGTTTCGCGCGCGTAAACTACGCCTATTCCATTACGATATGAGAAATTATTCGATAGATAATTCCAAATAGTTGGATAACAGTGGCATTGTCCGTACATTGGCTCTATCCGAAACAAATATAATCGAACATATCGAACACACGATCAGATATTTATCAGGCAAGAAATCTCAATAAGTAAGCAACATGTAAATGTGTATCTTGGCAGTTACTTATTGCTAGATGCATTTACATCTGCTTTGCTTTATGAATCTCTGCAATATCCAGAATAATAGGAAACTTATTTTCTTGCGAGAAATGTCAATTCAAATACATTTCATTATTTGCGTCTCTTAGAATGTATGTAATTTTCTTTATTTTCTTTATAACGCAAACCGCACGATTGCTTTACATAATTCAAGCATATAATTAATTATTCTGGATCGTCCTTAATGCGTTGTAGCCTAGGCTGCGTCTGTTCTAGGTCTGTCTTAACTTAAAGTAAAATCGACATATATAGCGTACACAGCTTTTCTAAGATTATGTATTTTGTTCTATTGTACTGTAATCATATGTATAATATTGTGCGTTATTTGCACAGCTTTTGAAGATTAAAAGAGACAGACAAGCACAAACACACAGTAGCGCGTCATAAGTGTACCGGGTGTTTTTGTAAATTAAGAATCGAATCTAAGAAATACTCTGAGATGTACAATTTTTGAAAATATATATATGAGCTCTAATTTTTTTATCATTGCGATAGGTAACTAACGTTTAGGAAAAGTGATAAACACCCGGTAATATTGATATGGGCTTATACTCTATTAGGGGCATTAGGCACGAGGCTGGGAGGATAGCTAAAGCCCACACAAAGCAAATTAAAGAATTAGTTTAGGCCGTCTTATCTCTCCAAAAGAGCCAAAAATGCTTTCATCTCGTATGTAAAATCGTAATTTTTAAAATAATTAATCCTGTTCAACAGGCTAGAGCAACTTCGCTGCAGAGCTGTGTTATGGTTATCCGTATAATGCGTGACCTTTGCAATCGTGTGCCAACGTGGGGTCCATTAAATCCTTGGGTTAGTATAGGAGATGTATTATTTCTCGTATACTTGTAATAATTTTTCCATCCTCAAAGAATATTAATGATTCTCAATGTGTTACACAGGCATTGGAGTTACTGACCGAGAAAGTGATAAGTACCGCAGGTGGTCCTCTTAGTCCCGGTGAAGCCTTGAGAAGACTTTTGGAATGTGTAGCAGGAGGAATATTGCTGCCAAGCAGCCCAGGTAATTTTTTTAATTCTCTCTCTCTCTATATATATATTTTAATATTATCATCGAATTCTGCCCTATTTTTTTGACATGATGAGAAAGATGACGAGACTGAGTATATTGTGGAGTATGATTGCATATATGAAGTACGAGTATTTCGTTCTCTTATATCACAATCATGTACATTCCATAATAATGCACAGATGATATGGCAATCTGAACTAAATTATAATGATACTGATCGAATTCAACCAATAACGTAAAAATATCGTTAATAATTGATGAAATGTCTCTTTGCTTCGCAGGTTTATCCGATCCATGCGAGAAGGAGCCGGTGGACGCGATAGGGAATATGACATCTCAACAAAGAGAAGATATTACCGCGTCCGCGCAACATGCGTTGCGATTAGTGGCGTTCCGTCAGATTCACAAGGTCCTAGGTATGGAGCAACTGCCCCCTCCAAAATTTAAGGGACGATTTGCCAGAAAACGAAGACGCGACAACAGCAACGGAGAGGGCACGGATAGCGAAGCCTCGAAAAAGGATAAGAAGGCAGAAGAGATCAAAATGGAAACAGACTCGAAGTAAAAGATCTACCAAAAGATTCGTCTTTTACGAATTACCTATTAACTTATCTAGTATAAGAGAAAAAACATTTTTTTCGCCGTGTCAGTTGCTTATTTAGGAAAAGAAATATCTTCGGATCGGGACAATTCGAAAATTAGGTGATACTCGTCGCGACTTAGAATAATTTCCGAGCATATAATCCAAGAACGAATAATGCTATAAGAATGATGCGCTTATCAAATTGCAATATCGGGCGTCCTTCATCTTATCGCGCGTCCCTATTGAAAATTATTGGCTTCATGGAAATGACATAATTGTTTCTTTTTTGCTACGATATATGAGATAAATTTAAACATTACAAATCGATGTTCGATCAATCGCATCAATTGTCTGTTTGAGAAAACTTGTCAATCGATTTAAGTTTTATTTATTATAGCTATCTTTACTTCGCGGTATATATATTATATATTACATGATTAACGCTCCTATGTCTTCACTGCAGATATGAAACTTACAAGAAAAAAAAATCACACGTTTTCTTGTTTCTGAAATTATAACATGACTATTAGAATCCACTGCAGGAAGCTTAATGTATCACTGTGATTAATTGATGATATTAGGTTTGTATATCAACAATATAACTAATAAATGCGTTCATCGATCTGAACTGTTTAGATTTATCTCAGTTATGGCGGATACGCAAACGAAGAAATCTAAACAATCGAGAGTGGTAGAATGCGACGATGAACATTTATAAGTTTGAAGTTACAGATAGATAATAGATTGTATTGAGAATTTGTGTGTATGTTGTGTGTGTAGTCAGTACAGACGTTGTAGAAAATATTTCTCTCCTTCTCTCTCTCTCTCTCTCTCTCTCTCTCTCTTTCTTTCTCTCACTTCTGCACAAAGTGACAACCATTTACGGTGTATGCTATTATCACGTGCGTGATTCACGCAAATGAAAGATATTTATAAATCGATGAAGCGGATGTTTTAAAAATGTCCGCTGCGAAACATGTGCACGTGTTTTTTAACAGATCGCTCTCTGTAGATCAATCTGAACTTTATTTACAGAAAATCGAGCGAAAATGCAGTCGAAACTTGCAACTACTCAATTTTCGAACATTGCCACCGTTTAAGTGAATTCTTCCGACTTGTGTAGATTTTCTGTTCTGTATTTTCGAATCATTGAATAAAAATAATACATGTATGATGCAATTGCGAGCTTATTGATATTGAAAGAATTTATTTAAAAGATAATAAATTTAATCTAGCTTCCTTTCAATATTGTTCCCTCCTCAACTGTGTATGCTGTAAATAAGATCCTTTTGCAAAGATTAGATTAAATACTAATATATATGATCTAAAAACCTTGTCATCAAACGCGATTGTATTGCATCAGTTTGCAAACTTTACATGCTGATGACTCTGCGATTCTATGAATTCAATTTCATGTTTTTGCGCGTATAAATAACACGTCAGTTTCAGGATGAAAATATCTTGATAAAGAAACAATATATGTTCAGCCAATATCTTATATCCGCATTCCTGGAAAAAATATTTATATCGAAAGTTACTTGTGACGTAGGCTATCATAAGGTAAAAACATGCGTAAGTTATATATATATATACATAGGATGTGTTCCAAAATTCACTGGCAGTACTGCCAACATGTCGTCATCCTTTTCTAACTTTCGGCGAACAACAAAGATGACGATACGCTGGCAGTACTGTCAGTGAATTATGGAACGCAGCCAATAGATGAATAACATTGTGTATAAGAAACCATGGGTGCGTTCCGTTTCACGCATTGAACGCATAGATCGCCTGGAAATCTATAGTTCACGTAACATATATTATAGATTTCCAGGCGATCTATGCGCTCAATGCGTGAAACGGAACGCACCCCATGTATCTCTAAATAATAGAGACTAAAAAACCGTTGTAATTTCAAGAAATTAAATTTTCGATACATCAGATTTTATTTTATCTTTTTAATGCAAATATAAACATATAAGGATTCTCTCGTGTCAATAGTCTTTCAAACCAAACTCAAAAATGCGGTTTTTTCAGTCCCTGGTCCCTGCTAAATATAAAACATATGGTAACAGATGCATAGTAGCAGGATATATACATATGTATATACGAATACAATACATATACATCGAGAATGCTCTGGAACATGACGTAAGTTCTTTGTTGCAAAGTCAATACGAATTGCGTACGTAATGCGGACGACGAACCAATCAGCGACATCGTCGACGTTTCTCGGCCAATGAAACGCAAGCGCGTATCATAGCGAGTCATCGCGACATTATAAAAGCGAGCGTCGCGTCGTTCCCAGCTCAATAGCCTGTGTGTTTGAACGAGAGAAGTACGTTTTACGTTGCATCAAATTCCTTAATTGTTCGCGAATCTACAATAGCCAGAAGCTTTCACGCAAAAGGTGAGATGTTATTTTCGTTTACATGAAATTACGGCTACCAAATTTTTAATCCCGGCTGAAATATTTGTACGAGAACGCGAATTATATATATATATATATATTTCATTAATTTATTTTCAATTCGTTAAATAAATTATAAATTTCAATATATACAATCTTTACAAAGAAGCGGGCTTGCGTTTAATCGGCGTTTCGCCACTTTATAAATCGTTATCGTCTCAAAATGAGTGTATATATCGATCGTTACGTCGCGTCTGTTGCTAAGCGGAACACGCTGTGAATTTATCTCGAAAAATGGATGTATATTAATATTTCGAAACGTAAATCGAAAAATTTGTTTGTTTTTATATCAGTCTAAAAGGCATGTAGAAAATAAGCTAACGGATATAATATTTCGACCGATTAAATGTTTTTTTATTACGAACGTTTTCTCCGTGTCACGAAATGGCGTGACTCATCGAATGCTTGACGCAGCATAAACTCGGTCAAGATGGCGGCTGCTGATTTTACCTACGTCATGTTCAGTTGCTAGCAGCTCCAATTCTTTTCTTTTCTATTATGGTTATTGATATATTTAATTAAATTTTCATTTTAAATACAACTTTTAATGTAATCTGAAATTTTATTACAGAGCACCATGCAGATTTTCGTGAAAACGTTAACTGGAAAAACCATAACTCTCGAAGTTGAAGCCTCTGACACTATCGAGAACGTGAAGGCGAAGATTCAGGACAAAGAGGGTATTCCACCTGATCAGCAGCGCTTGATTTTTGCTGGAAAACAACTTGAGGACGGACGTACCTTGTCCGATTACAATATTCAGAAGGAATCCACTCTCCATCTGGTTCTCAGATTACGTGGCGGAATGCAGATCTTTGTCAAAACCTTGACGGGAAAGACCATTACGTTGGAAGTCGAAGCATCAGACACGATCGAGAATGTCAAAGCGAAAATTCAAGACAAGGAAGGTATCCCACCAGATCAGCAAAGATTGATTTTTGCTGGAAAACAACTTGAAGACGGTCGCACGCTTTCTGATTACAATATTCAGAAAGAATCTACTTTGCACTTGGTTCTTCGTCTACGTGGTGGTATGCAAATTTTTGTCAAGACCTTGACAGGAAAGACTATTACTTTGGAGGTAGAGGCTTCGGATACAATTGAGAATGTCAAGGCTAAGATCCAAGACAAAGAGGGAATTCCTCCCGATCAACAGAGATTGATTTTCGCGGGCAAGCAGCTGGAGGACGGACGCACCTTGTCAGATTATAATATTCAAAAGGAATCCACTCTGCATTTAGTTTTACGACTTCGCGGAGGTATGCAGATTTTCGTCAAGACTCTCACTGGCAAAACTATCACATTGGAAGTCGAAGCGTCGGACACGATCGAGAATGTCAAAGCCAAAATTCAGGACAAAGAAGGCATCCCTCCGGATCAGCAGAGATTGATCTTTGCTGGAAAACAACTCGAAGATGGCCGCACACTTTCCGACTATAATATTCAGAAGGAATCAACTTTACATTTGGTTCTTCGACTACGTGGTGGTATGCAAATTTTCGTCAAGACTTTAACTGGTAAAACAATCACACTGGAAGTCGAGGCATCTGATACGATTGAGAATGTTAAAGCCAAAATTCAGTACAAGGAAGGCATTCCCCCAGATCAGCAGAGATTGATCTTTGCTGGAAAACAACTCGAAGACGGCCGCACACTTTCCGACTATAATATTCAGAAGGAATCAACTTTACATTTGGTTCTTCGACTACGTGGTGGTATGCAGATCTTTGTCAAGACCCTCACTGGTAAAACTATCACATTGGAAGTTGAGGCATCTGATACGATTGAGAATGTTAAAGCCAAAATTCAGGACAAGGAAGGCATTCCCCCAGATCAGCAGAGATTGATCTTTGCTGGAAAACAACTCGAAGACGGCCGCACACTTTCCGACTACAATATTCAGAAGGAATCAACTTTACATTTGGTTCTTCGACTACGTGGTGGTATGCAGATCTTTGTCAAGACCCTCACTGGTAAAACCATCACATTGGAAGTTGAGGCATCGGACACGATTGAGAATGTCAAAGCCAAAATTCAGGACAAGGAGGGCATTCCCCCGGATCAGCAGAGATTGATCTTTGCTGGAAAACAGCTCGAAGACGGCCGCACACTTTCCGACTACAATATTCAGAAGGAATCAACTTTACATTTGGTTCTTCGACTACGTGGTGGTATGCAGATCTTTGTCAAGACCCTCACTGGTAAAACCATCACATTGGAAGTTGAGGCATCGGACACGATTGAGAATGTCAAAGCCAAAATTCAGGACAAGGAGGGCATTCCCCCGGATCAGCAGAGATTGATCTTTGCTGGAAAACAGCTCGAAGACGGCCGCACACTTTCCGACTACAATATTCAGAAGGAATCAACTTTACATTTGGTTCTTCGACTACGTGGTGGTATGCAGATCTTTGTCAAGACCCTCACTGGTAAAACCATCACATTGGAAGTTGAGGCATCGGACACGATTGAGAATGTCAAAGCCAAAATTCAGGACAAGGAGGGCATTCCCCCGGATCAGCAGAGATTGATCTTTGCTGGAAAACAGCTCGAAGACGGCCGCACACTTTCCGACTACAATATTCAGAAGGAATCAACTTTACATTTGGTTCTTCGACTACGTGGTGGTATGCAGATCTTTGTCAAGACCCTCACTGGTAAAACCATCACATTGGAAGTTGAGGCATCGGACACGATTGAGAATGTCAAAGCCAAAATTCAGGACAAGGAGGGCATTCCCCCGGATCAGCAGAGATTGATCTTTGCTGGAAAACAGCTCGAAGACGGCCGCACACTTTCCGACTACAATATTCAGAAGGAATCAACTTTACATTTGGTTCTTCGACTACGTGGTGGTATGCAGATCTTTGTCAAGACCCTCACTGGTAAAACCATCACATTGGAAGTTGAGGCATCGGACACGATTGAGAATGTCAAAGCCAAAATTCAGGACAAGGAGGGCATTCCCCCGGATCAGCAGAGATTGATCTTTGCTGGAAAACAACTCGAAGACGGCCGCACACTTTCCGACTACAATATTCAGAAGGAATCAACTTTACATTTGGTTCTTCGACTACGTGGTGGTATGCAAATTTTCGTCAAGACTTTAACTGGTAAAACAATCACACTGGAAGTCGAGGCATCTGATACGATTGAGAATGTTAAAGCCAAAATTCAGGACAAGGAAGGCATTCCCCCAGATCAGCAGAGATTGATCTTTGCTGGAAAACAACTCGAAGACGGCCGCACACTTTCCGACTACAATATTCAGAAGGAATCAACTTTACATTTGGTTCTTCGACTTCGTGGTGGTATGCAGATTTTTGTCAAGACCCTCACTGGTAAAACCATCACATTGGAAGTTGAGGCATCGGACACGATTGAGAATGTCAAAGCCAAAATTCAGGACAAGGAGGGCATTCCCCCGGATCAGCAGAGATTGATCTTTGCTGGAAAACAGCTCGAAGACGGCCGCACACTTTCCGACTACAATATTCAGAAGGAATCAACTTTACATTTGGTTCTTCGACTACGTGGTGGTATGCAGATTTTTGTCAAGACTCTTACCGGTAAAACCATCACATTGGAAGTCGAAGCATCAGACACGATCGAGAATGTCAAAGCCAAAATTCAGGACAAGGAGGGCATTCCTCCGGATCAGCAGAGATTGATTTTCGCGGGCAAGCAACTTGAGGACGGACGCACCTTGTCAGATTATAATATTCAGAAAGAATCCACATTACATCTTGTACTCCGTCTTAGAGGCGGAAATGTCTAATTCTATAATTGTGATCTTTTCCTTCTAAGTACCTTGCGCTCAATACTTTAATTCTATTTATATAATTCTGTTATAAAATAAAATTTTATTCAAAGAAATTTTAATTTTATTTATTTAGATATGAAAATTTTGTGAGAATTTTGACGAATAAAGAATAATTTTTTTGAAAATAATTCTATATATTCTGCTCATGTTACATTTAATCTAACCTCTTATTTTATGATTATTTCCTTCTAAAAGACAGAATTATATATTCCTTTATGATCTTGGAAAATGCGTTTCTTTTTAATAAAATCTCTCTCTATTAAAATTCTATTTTCGATAGTATATATATATTATGTAAGTTTTGCTTGTATTCTTTTGAATATTTTTAATGAGTGGAAATGAAAATGAATAAGAACTAATTCTATAATAAAGTAGTTTAATATTAATGCATTTTCACACATTTGCTTCTTATATAAATAATTTATACAATTCTTTAAAACATGTGCAGCAAGTATCGTTAACAGAATGCTCTGAGATGATTATTTTTATCGATATCTTATTCTATGCAGTAATTTTTGATTACAATATTCAAAATAAAATATATTATATATTCAGTGTGTTATAACAAACTTGGTTGGACATTGAACACACTAGTACATATTCGTACATATTAAAGATTATCATATATAAATTTACAATAGCATAAATATATAATATATTGATATTTATTTTACTGTAAATTTGTATACTACAGCCTTTACAGCCAACTCACCAATGCATAAAGTTCATCCAATCGAATTCACTATTACATAGATCCAAGAGCTTCTGTTAAAAACCTTTAAATATATAATAATCATTTTCTTTTTTATAGCGAATTTAATGGCATTTACTTATTAGTTTCTATTGTGTTTAAATAATATTTATGCGATTTGAATTCTTAGACTTAAACGAAATTCTAAAAATTGTTGGAATTCTTACAATTTTTGTACACGCTACTATCTAATTATAATTTTTTTATTTGATATTTTAGTTATTTAAATGTTTGCAGCTCGAAAATTACCGATATCGACAATTAATCGATAATTAACCGATGTCGATAATATCTATGAATGTCTGTAATATATGTATAATACAAACTGTTCTCTCCAACATTTAAATTCTAAAATATTAGGAAAGTATTAGGAACACATTATGAGCAAAGAGGTGGTACGAGTAAAAATTCGAAGTTTGCAATTCGCGATGTTACAATTGGTAATGTATCGACAATTGGTAATAAACCGACGCCGGTAAGTTGTTGGCGTCGGTATTGCAAATTACTACTTCGAATTTTTTGTTCGTACGACTTTCTTGCGCATCATATCCTCCTAATACTTTCCTAATATTTTGGAATTTAAATGTTAGCAGTTCGCATGTTACCGACGTTGCTAAATTACTAATATTGATAGTCCGCAGATTAAAATTTCGTTATCGTGCCACCTCTTTGCTTATTATATTCCTTTAATATTTTCCTAATATATTTCAGAATTTAAATGCTAGCAGTTCATAGGTACCGACATCAGTAAATCGTCGATCGACGTCTATAATTCGCGCAAACACTTATAATTCTAATATAGTTATATAATTAATAAATTAATAT